AGCTTTAAAATTTTACAAATAGAATAAAAACCACAAAAGCCCAGATTTATAGTTGAGTGTTAAAAATGCACAACAAATAGGAAAAGGAAGGAACAAAAATAAATCCAAATCCCTTACTCGATTTCCAACCTGAAAGTTCTCCCCCACACCCTCTTCCCTGGGTCTGCTGCATCGGGACTTACTGGCCACTTTTACTCTGGCAGTTCCCAACATTTGTGTGAGTGGCCCGGTTTTCCCATTGACCATTTCTAGCATCGTAAGCGTTTGGGAGTGAAGGCCAAGATATGTTAGGCTCACCTTTGAAGGACTGTTGCTGAAGTAGTAGAAAATCTTTTCTCGAGGAGAAAGCATTGTTTCGTTTTTATGTGGGGAAATATAGACGGGATGATTTTGAGATAGCTGTATTCGGCGAGGAGAGCCTGTTCTTACAAATGGATAGGGAGACAGGGGAGGAGCATCCATCTGTGTAAAAAAAAAAAAAAAAAAATCAGTATTTCTAAGAAAGCTAAACAAAATTTCCAATGAGGCATTTTTAAAAAGTGGTTATTTTTACTGAGTGAAGAGATATAATAAACCAGTAGCTTTATGAATGGTAAACAGTGACAGCAACAATTAAATCTAAAGAAAACATACAAATAGCAAACATGTAATTGTTCACTGTGTGCCAGTCATTGTTTTAAGCATTTTTAATGCAGTATGTCATTTAATTTTCACAACCACCTTATAAACTAGGGAGTACTCTTATCCCCATTTTGTCTAGGAGGAAACAGGCACAAATAACTCAAAAGGTCACCACAGCTGTTAAGTCTTCGACAATTTGAACCCAATTCATTTTCTCAATGCTATACTTTGTAGGGAATCCAAATACCATCTTATTGTTTAATGCTTGTACAACAATAGAAATTATGATGGTTAATCAAATTATTTGTTAGACTTCTTCCGTTTTACTTAAGAGAATTATTTATAAAACTAGAGCAACTCAAACATAAGTGATTCCTCATCCTTCACAAGTAGAAAGAAAGATATGAAGTAATCTCCCTCAAACTTACTATGTTTGCCTGCGAGTACTTCATGGCAAATGTTTTAATTTGTTTTATGTAGATGTTGTTGTAGAACTGAATGAGGTCTCCCCTCTCCTCCTCTTCCATGTCGCTGCTGGCACCTGTGAGACGAGTGGGTGTCGGCGGGGCACTGCCAGGCTGTGGAACGGGCAAGGTGCTGCTTGACCTCATGACAGGACTGGAGTCTCTGCTGGCTGCCATCAGTAGAACAAAGGGTGTTACACAGAAAGGCTGCTAATATAGATTCTTTTTAAAAAGAGAATTCGATAGAATAAAAGCAAACAGCTGCCTGCTCCGCTGTATAATGGCAGCAGATGGCCCTTTATTCTTCATACCAGGCAGCAGAGCACAGGCGAGACATCAAGCACTATCATCACCCCCAGGCCAGAACTGAAGGAAGGGCCTACTGAGTAGTTTGCATTAATAAGTTACACCAACTTTCCTAGGACCTGAGCCCTGTATTAAGTGGTGCAAACGAACAACTGGGGATGGTATTTCCATAGTGTGGTTTCAGTTGACATGCCAGACTTTTCTGGAACTCAGGCCATCAAATTCCTGCCTGAAATCTCTAATTCCCCTGGAGAAAAATGTTACGCACAGTGTGCTTCTAAGCTAGGGGATGGACAAACAACTTTGCCACCAAATTTAGAATTCTGTTTATTGTTCTAACAAATCCTTTGCCAATAAAATAGCTTCATACTTTCTTTAGTAGTAATTTCATTTAGTCATCCTCAGTTTTCTAAGCCTAAAAAATAAGAGAAGCTCCTCATTTTATTTTGTAAGTGTTCGTAAAGAACCCACTTACTTCTGTCTTTGCTTAGTTCTGTTGGAGAATTTTGATGGCTTCTGCTATCACTGCTGCCAGAATTTCTTCTTCTCCTTTTCCCTTTTATCAAAACACTTCTGTATACCTTTAGAGAGATCATGAGAAAGAGACAGAAATTCATATTTATTGAATACATCCTAGACTATGACGCTGACAGGTTATTCTCACAGCAACCCTAATAGTTATCCTCAGGGGAGGTTAATAAATGCAGCCCAAGTCATATATCTATTAAATAACAGATTCAGGATTTATAACAGGGCCTGTTTCAGATTCTAAGTATAGCTTAGAATACTACTCGCTTCAGATTCTAAGTATAGCTTAGAATACTACAGAGCAGTATTAGTACCCAACCATAAAATCAACTCATTCTAAGTACAGAGACTTCATCTACCTACCTCTTTAAGATAGGTGAATAGTATTGTTTTAAAATGTCACTTAATGTTGTCTTGGTTAAACGTACAGTACTGTTTCCTCAACCAGACTGAAAGGTGACATAGAAACCAAATGACTTCCTAATTTACATCTTTCTTGTGACTAACTGAATTAAGGAGTCAAATATTTCACATCATTACCTTCTGGAGAAAAGAAGACTTAAACTAATCAACATGTGAAGTTGTCTGTCAATGATTAAAGGAGGTTAGAGTAAAAACTTCCCTTAAAGTCTTAGTTGTTTAACTTGGTGAAAAGTCTATAGAATTAACAGTGGTTGGTTTTTTGTGTTCATCAAAGACTTTAAGCTTTATTTTCAGCCCTAAGAGAAAATGTAGTTACCTGGCTCCGGGCCTGCGGCTGAGTCCTGTAACAACGCATAATATTCTGGAAGGACCTGTCGTCTTTTGTGACCTGGAAAAGAATAAGAGTATTCTGTGAAGGAAACTACCTTCCAGCAAAATAACGTGTGGAGTTTCATAAACTTGCTCCACAGTGAAACTGGTAAAAATATATATTAAATAGACACTTAATGTCTCTGGAAATGGTCCTAAGTACATACAACAAATGAAGAACTATTCAAGAAAATCTACTAAAGTTCATCAACAGAGGAAGGAAGTGGTATTTTAACCAAGGCCTGGAATAAAAAATACAGTAACACATGAAAAATTCACTGGGATAAAACAGTAGATTTGAACTGACAAAAAATTAGCAAACTTGAGGACAGACTACAATCCAAAGACAGAAGGAAAAGAATAAAGAAATATTAACAGCTTCAGAGAGCTGCTGAACACTATAATACACATAATGGTAGTACCAGAGGAGAGAGAGCAGCAGAAAAAAAGTTCAAAGAAATACAGGCTGAAAGTTTCCCACACTTACTAAACATTAATCTACATCCAGGAACCTCAACAAATTTCTAGTAGGATAAATACAAAGAAATCCATATCCAGACATATATAAAAACGCTGAAAGCGAAAGGGAGAAAATCTTGAAAGCATCAGGAGAAACAACTTTTCACTTTAGAACGCCAATAAAATAACAGCCGACTTCTCATCAGAAACTATGGAGGCAAAAAGGCAGTGGAATAATGTAGTCAAAGTGTCCAAAGTAAACTAAAGAATCCAGTATCCAGCAAAGTTATCTTTCAAAAATTAAGGTAAAATACAATCTCAGATAAACAATTTGATGCTAACAGACCCATCTTATAAAAATACTAAAAGTTCTTTGAACTAAAGGAAGTGATTCCAGACAGTATATCAAATAAACACCAAAAAACAAAGCACTGGTAAAGACAATTATATGACTATAAAGATAGTATAAAATGTATATCTCTCTTCCCTTAACCGATTTAAAACGCAGTTTTATCAAACAGTATGTATATTAATGTATTGTTGGACCTAAAACATACGGAAATGATACATTTGCCAAAACAAAACAAAGAAACATATAAGGAAATGACACCAGATGACAACTTGAAAAAACAGGAACCAATAAAAAGAATTGGAAATACATAAGGTAAATATAACGATAGTATAAAAATGTTCACTCAGCTCTTTTAAAAGTCATAAAATTGTATAAAATAACAGTATTGCTGGATTTATAACATTTACAGATGTACTGTATAATGATACTACCACAAAAAGGATGAAAAAGAAACAGCTATATTGGAGTAACACTTCTGTATCTCACTGGAATTAAGTTAGTATAAATCTGAAGTTGATTTTGAGAACATGTATATGGGAGCTGGTGGAAATGGGGACAGTTCTGGGGATCTAATATACAGCATATTGTGACTAGTTAACAGTAATGTATTATACACTTGAAAGTTAAGGAAGTTAATCTCACTACAAAAAAATAGTTATGTGAGGTCCTGGATGTTAATTAACCTGTGGTAATCACAATGCAATATATACAGCGCAATCATCACATTGTATACTTACATAATTCTGTATATCAATTATATCTCAATAAAGCTGAAGAAAAAGAGGGAGGAAGATAGATATGTATATGGTAAGCCCTAAAGTAACCACTAAGAAAATAAGTTAAAGTGAGTCATTACTGAAATTAAAATATCGCATGAGAAAGTATTACCTAATGCAAATGAAAGCAATAAAGGAAGAAGACAGAACCAAAAAGATGAAGCATATAAAAAATAAGTAAAATGGACATAAATTCAGTTATAACAGTATTAAATGTGAATGGATGTAATAACAATCAAAAGTCAAAAATTGTAAGCCTGGTTAAAAAAAGAGATCCAAGTATCCTATGTCCACAAGACACTTTAGATTAAAAAATACAAACAGGTTTGAAAGAAAAAGATAGACTGCAACCCTCAAAAAGCTCAATGATTTTACAAGTATCCCACTATAAAACAAACTATAAAACAAAAAAGTTATTAAAGAGGGACATTTCATGATGATAAAATGGTCAGTCCATTGGGAAGCTCTAACAGTTATAAGCATACATGTACCTAATAGAGCACCAAAACAAAAGTAAAAACGAAGGGAGAAATGGATAATATTTGGAGAGTTCAATACCCTACTTTCAAAAATGGATACAACTAGTAGAAAATGAAACCAGAAGACTAACAAAACTAACACAATTGGATCTAACAGGCATCTATAGAACACTATACCCACTGGCAACAGAATATACATTCTTCTCAAATGCACATTGAACATTCTCCAGGATAGACCATATGCTAGGCTATAAAACCTTGATAAATATAAAGGAATTGAAATAATACAAAATGTGTTTTTTGACCACAATGGACTGAAACTAGAAATCATGAACAGAAGTTTGGGAAACTCACAAATATGTAGAAATAAAACAACATACCTAGATAACTAATGAATCAGATCAAAAGAGAAATTAGAAAATACTTTGAGAAGAGTGAAAATGAAGCTACAACATACTAAAATTTAGGAGAGGCCGCTAAAGCAGTGCCTCAAGGGAAATTTATAGCTGTTAATGCCTATACTAAAATAGAAAGGTATTAAATCAGTTACCTAACCATCTTAAGAGCAAAAATTAAGCCTAAAGCTAGCAGACAGGGAAATAATAAAGATTAGAACATATATTAATAAATGAAAGCAAAAGCTAGTTCTTTGACAAAATCAACAACACTGGTAAACTTTTAACTAGACTGACCAAGATAAAAAGAAGCCTCAAATTACTAAGACATAATTTGGCAAGAAAAAAGACTATAAGGGAATATTATGCACAACTGTGTTCCAACAAATGACAACCCAGAGGAAATAGCCAATTTCTAGGAATACACAAACTACCAAAGCTGATTCCAGGAAAAAAAAGATGACCTGAATAGACTTATAAGAAAAATTATTCATCAATAAACTACCTGTAGTGAAAAGCACAGGCCCCAATACCTTCACTGCTCAATTCTACCATTTAAGAATACCAATTTTTCACAAACTCTTCCAAAATAAAGAAGAGGAAGGACCTCTTTTCTATGTACTATGAATCCAATATTATCTGGATAACAAAACCAGTCCAAGCCTATTTCTTCTTAAACTACAGACCATTATCTCTTACGAATAGGACAAAATTCCTCAACAAAGTACTAGCAAACACAACCTAGTAACATATACAAAGAATTCTACACCATAACCAAGTGGATCTGACACCAGAAATGCAAGGTTGGTTTAACATATGAAAATCATCAATAATACTCTTAGAAGCAAATGGGTAAATCTTCACAGGCTTGGATTTGGCATTGTATTCTTAGATATGACGCAAAAAGCACAAGCAGCAAAAGAAAAATTGATTTCATCAAAATTAAAAATTTTTATGCTTTAACATGTATCAAGTAAGTGAAAAAATAACACACGAAATGAAAAAATATTTGCAAATCACATACTTGAGAAGGGAGTTGCATCCAGAACATATAACTGCTATAACTCAACAAATAAAAAAGCAAACAATCACTTCAAAAATGGGCCAAGGATTTAAACAGATATTTCTCCAAAGAAGATACACAAATGACCAGTTAGCAAATGAAAAAAAATGCTTGACATGATTAGTCATTAGGGAAATACAAGTCAAAGCCATCGTAAGGTACCAGTTCAATACCCACTGGGATGGCTAAAATTAAAAATAACAAGTTGGCAAGGATGTAAAGAAACTGAACTCTCGTGTACTCCCTGTGGGATGTACTGGTATGGCTGGTGTAAAAAACAATATGGAAATTCCTCAAAAAATTAAACACAATTATTATATGACCCAGCAATTGCACTTTGAGGTACATATAGAAAAGAAAACCCAAAATCTTGAAGAGATTTGTATACTCATATTCATAATAGCATAATTCACAATAGCCAAAATAGAAGCAACCTAAGTGTCCATCAGTGATGAATGGATAAAGAAAATGTGGTATATCTAATTAATGGAATATCATTCAGCCTTTAAAAGGAAGGAAATTATACTACAACATAGATGAATCTTGAGGACATTATACTAACTGAAATAAACCACTCCCCAAAATAACAAATATTGCACAATTCCACTTACGTGAGGCAGCTAGAACAGATTCATAGAGACAAAAAGCAAAATGGTGGTTACCAGGAATTAGAATGGGAATCAGAGAAACTACTTAGTAAGTAGTTTTACTTTGTAAGGATAGATATGTTTTGGAAGTAGAAGTGGTGGGTGTACATTATGAATATACTAAAAAACATTCAATTGTTCATTTAAAAATGGCTAATTTTGTGTTACATGACTTTCACCTCAAATTATTTTAAAAACAAAGTCGGATAATAAAAGTGCTGATGAAAATGTGGAGAAATCACAACCTTCGCTTATTGCTGGTGGAAATGTAAAATGGTGCAGTGACTTTTGAAAACAATCTGTCAGTTCCTCAAATGGTAAACATAGTTACCATATGACCCAGCAACACATGCCTAGATATATACCGAAGAGAAATGAAAACATGCAAAAGCCTGTGCACAAATGCTCATAAACAGGTAAAAATTGGAAATAGTCCATCAACTGATGAATGGATAAACAAAATATTATATTCATACAATGAAGTATGATCTAAAATTGACTACAGTGATAGCTGCATATATCTGTGAATATATTAAAATCTACTAGTTTACATTTTAAATGAGTGAATTATGTAGTATGTGAATTGTAGTTCGATAAAGTAGTTTTAAGTTCTGACAGGAAGTAGCACCTTTTTTCCTTTTATATTCCGAAGTACTCACTTTTGCCATCACATAAATGGCGCACATTAACAGCTGGTCCAGATGTCTGTCCATCATAAGTTCAGGACACTGAATTATGGAGAACTCAAAACAGGTCCAGATTTTTTTCCTTAGTTCATCTGAGATATCCAGTTTAGCACAAAGATCCCGAAGGCGGACACCTGCTAAGTGGTAAACCTAGTAGATAAACAAAAACATTTCAAACTTTGTGTATCTAACACGTATTTCCCAAGTTCATGACCTGTTAAGGGGACATGAAGCATTACCTTTCTAAAGAAAAGTGATAAAGAGCTGGTCTTCCTGGGTCTACCACTGCTGCTGGTTAAAGGCGGGCCCTGTTTTTGCTGTTGTCCACCAGGGGAAACCTGCTGAATGGTCACCTGACCAGGGACTTGCAAGGTTGTTCCTGTGACCGACTGAGAGCTCAAACTCCCAGCCAGGGCTTGAGCACTGAGGGGCTGGATGGAACCAGCAACAGCCTGTGCCTGCCCTCCAACATTGACTTGGACTGGGAAGAACGTTATCCCTCCGTTTTCATTGGCAATGCCTATGGTTTGTCACAAAGAAAAAGCACAAAGAAAATGTTGATAATACGAGGTTGTCCAGGCAGAGGTTTCCAATTTCTCCCCTCCTAACCCCTTGTCTCATATCATCATTCCAGCCAAATCTCAGGTAACCTTCCAATAAATGCCACAGAGAAAGAACTCAGTATCCAACTCTGCCTTCCTTACCTTGTACAGGAATGGTCACAGTTTGTCCATTATTGGCTGTGACAGTGGCTGTTGCCATGGTGACCAAAGTCTGTCCAGGAACTGGTGTGACAGAAACAGCCTCCCCAGACACATTCTGCACAGGGACAGCACTGACTAAGGGCTGTGGGGGAATGCGCCCAGGTGTTCCTCCATCAGGGGGGCTATCATTCTCAACAAACAGCCGTCTTCTGGTACAGCTGGCTGTTGGGGAGCTGTACCTATCATATAATGTGGTTGGAGATGTTATACCTAGGGTCGGAAAAAAAATAGTTTAACTCAAGGAGACTGAGATCTGACTTCCAACCAAGCTATTATGTTCAAAACTAATTAAGAGTTTAGAATACTTGATAATTTTAAAAACAAACAATAATTACAGGAGTCACATCATAGCTACAATTCACCTAATGAAAACTCAACTGAACACTATTATGAGCAAAATGTAAAGAAAGTTTCTCTTTCTCTCACAGTATTCCCTTCAGTACACCTTCTGCTAAATCAAACTAGACTTTGCTCTCTACTATTACAGGGCCTTGATGATTTAGGGGTAATTTAAAGAATTATTCTATTTTTCCATGATATTTTTGACCATACTGAGTTTCTACCTAACAATCATGTAAAATGTGATTTCACTATAAAGCCACAACTTTGATAAGGGAACTTGATATTGCTATGGTACATCTGGGAGCATGTCCTCCTCGTTTTATGGATCTTCATCTTTGTTTTTTTCCACATATAGAAAATTACTAAAACTCAATGTCCTTCAGCAAGAATGGACTTAATATCTTTTGTAGTCAATTAAGCTTAGTTTATTATTTTTTAAAACTTTATTGAAATATAATTCTCATATATTTCACCCATTTAAAGTTGTACGATTCAATGTTTTTTGGTATATCACATCTTTTTTAATTGTGGTAAAATATAGATAATATAATTTGCCTTTTTAACCACTTTTATGTGTACAATTCAGTGGCCTTAATTACATTCACAATGTTGTGCAACAATCATCACTATTTACGAAACTTCTCCAACAGAAACACTATTAACCATTATGGCTTAGTCTATTGTTAAGTATTCACACCAATGTCTGAATTTTTGAGAAGCAAGCATTCTTTTCCCTATTTCATAACTAGCTGTAAAAACTATACATCAGTCGGTGGGTTTTTTAATTTAAAAATATATGTAGGGAGGTCATAAGAAGATTGACAAGTGTAGTCCTGACTAGCTTAACATTTCAATTTCCTCATGATACAAAAGCAAATAAACTTAACCAGCTTTGTATCTGGAACAAAGCTGCAGAGTCAGAGTGCATTACAATCATTATCTTGTATTAAGAGACCTCATGAAAATAGAGAAGTGATAAGTACAAAGAAAATGAAGTTTAAAGTCAAGTCCTAATCCAAAGATTAGGGAAGGAAAAACTACAGAAACAGGACTGAGGAAAACCAGCTGTCAGATTGATGGGTCTAAGTGGATAATATGCAGAAAAATAGTTAAACTATGATGAACCCCCTCCAAACAGGAAGTTTTCATACAGCTCATCCGTATTTACTGAGAATGCACTAACAGAGTGATTCCTAATTTTAAAACTGATCTTTCTTCCATAGCTGGTGCTCACCAGTTACATTAAATTGGTCTAGACCACCCTCAACCCTTCTTCCAAGGGAAGGGAGTTGGGGTAGCCCTCTCCCCTGCATGGAGCTTCTGGGCACCGCCCTGGGTGGGACATAATGGGGCAGCCAAGTGGTCTTATGCCCCACACTCAATACAGACCGAGAAGCCAGGTGATCTGCTCTGTTTAATACGAGTTACAGTAAAGAAAATTTTTGGATGCAAAAACCAAAAAGATCTAAAAACATCCTCCTTAATGACGTCCAAGGATTTAGAACTCTCTGGAATCACTGCTTTTTAAAAAGTAGTTTTATCTCAAGTATGTAAACTTAAACCTTGCATTTGGCAGATGTTATAAAAAGCTGCCTAAAATGTAATTAGATGAATAATAAAACTACCCTTTTCTGTACTTCTTGGGCCAGCACATTAACCAGGGTAGCTCACAGCTCAACTGCCAGTCAAAGCTAACATGCTCAGGCCATGCAGTCCTCTGAACTCACTGGCTTGTCTGTACCTAACTGGATCAAACAGCTTTATCTTTAAGAAGCTTTCTTATTCTACTTTTAAAAGTTAAATTCATCTTTAAAAATTTACAGAAATCACCTGGAATTCTATCACCCAACAATAATCATTCTAAGTAGTTCGGTTTTTCCATTTCAGCCCTTTTGTATACTTATATGTAAACATACACTTAAATAACAAGAATCACATTAATATATATAGTACTCTATCTTTTTTTTTTTAAAGACTCTTGTTATATCATGCATTTTCCTCTTCTTAGTCTTTGAAAGCATGACTTTTAAGTGACCCATGTGACATTATGATGCACAGAATATTGTCTTCTATATATACCCTATTAGCTTCTTTTGTAGTTTTAGATGAAATTTAAATCCAGATAATAGGCCCCCAAATATTTGCCCTAGTATTTTCAACTTACTTCTTCCAAGTCCTCCAGTATCAGCACGGACCTCACTCACCCTCCTGGGAGTCAAAGGGGAGCCAGCAATACAAATTTCATCCGTTCTTTCCAGGCTCTGGGCTGGCATGACCTGTAAAGAATTGTTTACACAGAAAACCATTACTCAAAAATGCATTATAATTTAAAATACCATAATACTCTAAGGTAAAAGAAAACTATCTTGGCTCATCAGTTATTCTATCTATCAGCTGTCTTTTCCACTTTCAGGCTTAAAAAATTCAAAACCTAGTTAAGTCCATATTAAATATGAATCAACCTTACTTATTTGGAGAATTAGAATATCAACCATTCTAAGGTACAGAAACTTGATTAAGAAATCAGAACACTAAATTCATACCCTGTCTCTAAAAACTTAGAGTGATCACGAATTATCTCTGATTCTTGTTTCCTCTCAGATGATCAGGTAATTGTACCATATCAAGCCCAGTTGCCACCCTCCACTCCACACTAAATTTAACTGCTCTCTGTGAAAGAGGGTTATGAACAGACTACATATTGATATACTTTTGTTACAGAAAGCTGTTAATATATTTTCACAAACCTCCTCACATGTGGGAACTCTGTTCTCATTATCTCTGATTCTGTCCCAGAGTGGAGACTCTGGTTTCCATGCCAAATGATCCAGGATCTGTTCTTCAATCTCATTAAGGTGTTTCACCACCTCTCTACAAAGGCCATCTTCTGCTCTAATGAATACTTCTATCACCTGAAACAAAAACACCCTGGGGTTTATTTTTTTACAGAAATGTTTATTTAACGTGTGAAAACAAAATGGGTAAATTTATTTTTTTTACTTATTTATAAATACAAGATAATTTATAAAAAATTACAAGCTTAAAGAATACTACAACTTTGCAGCAGCTGCTCTCCCTTTCACTGTCTTTATAGTTAAACTGCATGTATAAATTTATACAAATCTTTTACATAGTGAGTATTTCAGAAATTTTTAAATGAAAAAACATGCCTTGTCTATTGTGGGTTGAAAACATTACTCTTTAAATTTCATATTTAAAAACTCTAAACATTCTATATGTGTCACTAGAAATATTAGTTTTGACTGCTGTATCTGAATTAAGGTAAATTCACACACTAAATCAATTTTAAGAAACTACCAAATCAACTACCAAATTAATGCCATAACTCTGTGCCTCTATATAATGTGTAAAAGAGAATTATGTTTCTAAAAGACACAATCAATTTTATCTAATTTCCGCAAAATAAAAAAAGGAGATTGGTATATAAGATTAGCTAGTGATATGTTTGCTGGTTTTCTGAAGTCTTATTAGCTCACGAAATGAAAGTATTCTAAAAGCCTTTTATGTAAAGTACACAGCATAGGGGAATATAGTCAATAATATTGTAACAACTATGTATAGTACCAGGCAGGCACTAGATTAACTAGGGGGATCACTTCATAAATTATATAAATGTCTAACCACTATGCTGTACACCTGAAACTAATATAAAATATTGAATGAGAACTGTAATTGAAAAAAAATTTTTTTAAAGCCTTTATAAAATTAAAAAAAGGATCGAATGAAGCTTTTACCCAAAATAGGTCTTTATACTACAGTAAAATAATTTATATAGTTCTTAAGACTCTTTCTCCTCTGCTCCCAAACAGAGTAAAAATTATTACATATGTAATTAAAAACAGAAGAAATGTACTTAGATATTAAAATGAACTATATGGCTAACAACAGGAAATTGATCTCATCAGTATCAGATTTTTAAAAATACCTTATAAAAATGATAAAGTGGCACATCGAATATTTCAGTAATGAATGGAAAATTCCCAGGAGGCTTATAAGAAAAAGTGACGACCTCAAGGCAGCAGGCCAAGAGCGATCTGTGAAATGCATCTTGTTCCAGAATGCCCTATAAAACAAAGTTATTAACATGTAAAACATTAACTTACTCTAATAAGACATCTCATACCCAGTCAAGTTAAATAAAAATACCAAAGAAAGTCTTATTTTCTGAGTTAGTGAGAAGTATGTGCTTATCTCCTTACAACACTTTTCTTAACTTTTTAAGTCAGTTCCTTTTTTAGCAAAAAACATATATCAAAGGAAGATATAAGAACTTTCAGAAAACTCACATATTATAAAATATAGCTAAATAAAAAAGATTACATCCCTAACCAAACTACACATACATCCTGTTGCTTAGATGAGTGATGATGTAAAAAAATGTTACAAAACTGTATTTATAGTTAAAAGGCCACTGGCATAAAGAGATAGCTTGAAGGAAAGCTGGTGACTTGGCTAGATGGTTAAGGACCAAAAGTCAGCATGTTTGTTCAGGGTAACACAATTACAGATGATTTTCATTTACTTTTTCTTGCTTATTATATATCCAAAATTGTACATATTTATTATTTTTGAATTAAAAAATTATGTAGACACCAAAAGCATAGGCAACAATAGGGAAAAACAGATAGATTGGACTTCAATAAAAGCAAAACCTTTTGTGTATCAAAGGATGCTATCGAATGAAGTGAAAAACCAGCCTACGGAATGGGAGAAAAATATTTGCAAATCATATATCTGATAAGGGATGAATATCCAGAACATAAACCAAGAAGAATTAAAAGCAAGGATCCAAAAGATACTCACACGCCAATGTTCATAATAGCATAGTTCATAAGAGCCAAAAGGTGGAAACAACTCAAATGTCCATCAGCAGTTGAATGGATAAACAAAATGTGATATATACATATATATGGTGTGTATGTCTGTGTGTAATATTATTAAGCCTTAAAAAGGAATGAAATTCTGATACATGGATGAACCTTGAAAATATGTTAAGTGAAATAGCCAGACACAAAAGAATATTGTATGATTATATGAGGTATCTAAAATAAGGTATATTCACAGAGATAGAATTAAAGAAGCGGGGGCGGGGGGGGAGGAATAAATATCATTTGTTTAAAAATCAATCTGTATTTCTTAACTAGTAAAATTTAGGAAAAATAATTACCTTAGCCAAGAGGAATGGCTGAATATTTACGTTAAAGTTCTTTCTAGTCAATACTCAATTTATTCTTGCTATATAAGGCTTGAATGAAAACTATGTTATTTAAAAACTCAATTAAGGTTAGGTCTGAATGTTTTAATCCTTGACTACAGAGTTTACTACCCACAGAACCTGTAAGTTATAGTACATGGCCTGCTGCAGTGAGACACTAAGTTGGGGAGTGGAGGTAAAAGCACTCAGAACACAAGTTTCCTTATGTGTCAACCCTATTCCCTCAATGCCATACACTATTTATTCATGAATGGCTTTATTTTGGGGGTGGGTAGGGCTGAAAGAAACCATAGTTTATTGTGCTGATCAATACATTGGTTATTTACTCACAGATAAATCCATGTCTCCCAATCTTTTTTGTTCCTGCTCAATAACAGATTCTAATACTTTATAGTAAAGCATCTCTGCAAAACGAAAATGTTTGCTGGCAATTTCTGCATAAATAATAAAAAACACAAAAATCACACGTGAAGAAAATAAATATTGTAGAAAATGAGGGTCCGTCCCATCCCCTGTCCACAAAATAAAATTTAAAAACCCACACAATACTTCACCTATATGCACTTCCTACAGTTTCAATCATCCCTAAGATTCCTTAATTTATTTCATGGTAACACCCAAATTTTTTAAAACTGTGAAATGAAATATTCACTTACAAACTATGACTGCATCCCATTAAGGTTCACGCTTTTTTTTTTTTGGTAATGTTTGAACAGAGTAGCTCTATGCCAAGAGGTTGGTTCACTATTTCTACTCATACGTGGTTTTAATTCATGACATCAAACAACTCCCTGGACAGGTCTGGGCATGAAACGGCTATGTCTTCTGTTCTGGTTCTTACTATTTTGAAGAGTCACTATATTTCTGTATTTAATATCCAGTCTACAAATGAAAACTAAAGATTTCCCAAACAGAGTACCTGAATTCCAACATAAGATATCAGTTTAAAATTTCTCTCAATGAGAAGGGCCCAGAAATCACTTGGATGACAGAAAAATTGGACATCCATACTCTAGCCTTTGATCTAAAGAAAAGGCATCTTTTCTTCATATTTCCAACTCAGTTCCCCAAAAAGGATTCCATGAAATTAAACTTCAAGATGAGAACAATACAGACAATATTAAGCTTTACCTTTAGCACAGGTACTAAAATCCTCATCTGGCTGGGAATGCTGAGAATATATTTCAAACATTTCTTTCAATCTGTTGGCAATAGCCTGGGTTGGATCTCTAGCACATGTCCTAAAAAAAATTAAAAGAAATTATCTAATCTAAAGGTCTTGCCAAGTTACAAAGTGACAAACTGTTTATAACTCCGTATTTTTACTAACCTGTAAATATAAAATACTTTGAAAAGAAACTATACAATTCCCAAATTAATCCAAAAGATCCCACACTTCCTTAAATCGAAGGTGGCGGTATTACCATTTTGAGTGGCAAAGAAAATTTTTCTTCTTTAAAGCCATACTTTTTACTGCAGTAAGTTTGTCAACCTTAACCAGTGCCTGTTTGATGTCCGTGACTGGCCCCCACCTACTGTACACATCTGCCATTACTGAAGACAGACAAAAAAGCCTTCAAATACTTCTCCAGAGGGCAATTCAATTCCCATTACAACTCCTGGAAGACAACAGAATGAAGGGGCATATAACCTACACTACAGACTCATATAAACTATTACTGGTATTCTATACCTTTTCCTGCAAAACGAGGTTGTGAATCATTGATTTTTTTTTTTTTTTTTTTACTAGAAAGGCAATATATGTTCAATGCTGAAGCAATATATGGATTGTCACCATGTCGGCTTTTGTAACAACTATGTTTTTATCTTGATCATAAACATACATATGCATTATAAAAATGTAGCAAGTTTAGAAAATTATGAAGAAAATAAAAATCAGTTATAATCCTGCTAGAAATAGCTACTGAATATCGTATGAAAGCAGAATTTTGTTATGAACACACATAGGTACCTTTTATACAAAAACAGGACCCTTTGGTTTTACCTAGTATCTACTGGTATTTGAGAACCACTAATGGTATTTAATATTAAAGAAGCTGCTACACCTGTTTAGAGATTGTAAAGAGATCTGGAAGATTTAGAGATTAAACCAGCCTTCTAAAATATGCTTCTGAATTCTAGGTAAACAAGGTCCATTTGAGAAATATGACTTAAGAAGAGGCCAATAGACAGAGCCTGTTGGGTGTTAATCATAATCAAGTTTATGAAAAAAGGAGACTTCATGAAAATGTGAAAGAAAATTAGCCTTTTGTTTAATGAGTCCGGCTACGAGTGAGAAATTACTAATACATGTATACAGGGCCCTTTTATACTACACCACCAGAAATAAAATGGGCTCCTATACAGTTTATGTCATCAAATCATAAACTTTTAGGACTAACTTCCTTTTCAGGCCAATAGTGTTTTATAGGGTTTATAAAAGTTACAGTGGTTTTACTTTGGTTATGAATATAACTGTCTATCTTTTTAAACATGACCCACCCTTCAGAAATTTGCTTAGGTCCAATTCTCTTCATGAAGTCCTGTAACGACCACCATCTTTAGTGATCCCCACTTCCCTGAAATGTTGATAGAACAGTTGGGGACAGATAGTTTGGTGCTTTATTCTACACTGTCTAGTGTTGTTACTGACTCCTGTGCTACATTAAGGAAATCTGAGTGCTATGGACTGAATGTGTTCCCCTGCCCCCAAATGCGCGTTGAAACCTAATCTCCAACGTGATGGTGTCAGGAGGTGGGGTCTTTGGGAGCTGATTAGGTTGAGAGGGTGGAGCCCTCATGAATGAGATTAATGCTCTTATAAAAGAGACCATAGAGAGCTTCTCTGCCTCCTTCGGCCATGTGAAGACACAGCAAAAAGACAGCTGTCTGAACCAGGAAGCAGTCCTCAGGAGACACTGAATCTGCTGACACCTTGATCTTGGACTTCCAGCATCTAGGATTGTGAAAAACTAATTTCTGTTGTTTATAAGTTACGAGTCTATGGTATTCTGTTATAGCAGCCAAACAAACTAAGATACTGAGGAAAAATGATCACCTTCTAGTCACACATCTTATATTGCTATGTCCTCTACAGACTAACAACAGGACTGAGCATATAACTGATATAAAATTATTAATGGGTATAAAGTACTAATAGTGAAAAATTAAAATAGGAAAACTGAAAGTGGTCAACCAATCTTAGCAGGCAAGAAGGGCTCAAACTAACCTTAGAATCTGTTCCAGGTTTTCACTTGGTGCATTCCTGAGGCCTGTTAGCATGGTGTGAAGACGACTCAAGCTATGTGTAGCTGTAGAAACTGGAGTCGCACAAGGGCTATTGTCCTTAATGTACCTTACACCAGTCAGTGGTGTGGAGGTTCTAAGTGCTTTAGACTAAAAGGGAAGGAAAAGGACATTATTTTAGGTCAAAAAGACTTTCAATTACTTTATGTTATCAACAAATTTTAGTAATTCAAATATCACCATTTTTGGAATTTAAACATACATACCACCACTAAAAGCTACCACTATCCAAGCAAAGATGTGTTAAACGGAAATATGTATTTTGGCCAATTAAAAAGTTTTTCTCTTAAAAATTCAATCTTTGAGATAAATCATATGTCCCTATTATACCTCCTCCAAAACTTAAGCTTGAGGCAAAAATAAGCATTAAAAAATTAATGTCATTGCAAAACAAATTCACAGCTCCCACTACTGCTATTTTTGTAAATACTCAAAGATTGACAAAGCTGTGAAATAAACCTGGCCCAAATGAAGTCCATGATTTAACAAAAGCCCACCTAAGTCATCAAATTTTCCCCTAGGGAGAGAGGATAAAACAAACATTCTTAGATGCAGAATACAACCTGATGCATAATAACGTTCTACAATAACGTTAACGCATAATAACGTTAACGCATAATAACGTTCTAGAATCTATCAGTTTTCACCCTAAAGTAGACAAATTTTCAGATAAATGTTTAAGTCAATATTCTTGAATATAAACATGAAAAAGATATGATTTAATGTCAAAGAATTTCAGTATGAATACATATGATAACATCTTTTCTAATTTTTCCAACAAACTTAAAGGTTAAGATAGCTTGAGTTTTTTCATATTAAAGATAAACTATATTTCCCTATGTATTAAAGGTACTATTCTAGAGATGTAAAAAAATCTGGTAAAATTTCCACCTGGCAACAGAACTATTCAAGTTTATGAGATAGAGAAGCACAGAAATTAACCATGCAGAGATAAATCTATGTGCTCTCTCTGTGACAGGAGAGTCAGGACTTCCACTTAGTTTCAAAGAGATTAAGTCTGTATTATTTTTAGATCAATAAAATAATCTGAGTAGATTAACTACATTCAGAAGGTTGCTCCCTGCCTGAGACAGCTTTTCTGGAAGCCAGCATCTTCCCTATATTTGAAGTTGCCTTGCTGGGAGGGAAAAACATCTTGTACAAGACAAGCAACAGCAGCAAGCAGCATCTTACCACATTGCCTGCAGGTAGCAGTGGTTCCACAAAGGAAACGAGGTAGGTATGATGACCACAAAACAGCCTCCTGCCCACAATTCTCAAAGTCAGCACTGGCTTCTTGGTAGCATTATTTAAGTTCTTAGCTTAAAGCTTCCTATGAATTCTGATCAAAAGAGTCTTTCTCTAACTCAAGAATAAATATTAAGTTGATATTTTAAAGATATTAAAACTTTCCTCTCCACGTAAAGACTCAAATTTTAGAGTGCCCCAGAGCTCTGTCCTTAGGCCTCTTTTATTCTCTAACAACCCATGCCGCTGGGTAATCGAAGCCATCTGTATCCTGACGAATCAAGAATATATACATACACATAGCCCCAACCTCTGCCATGACCTTCAGTCTTGTATATCTACACTGCCTACTCAACTTCTCAACTAAGATGCCTAAAAGACATCTCAAATTTAACATGCTAATAACCTTAACTCTTGATTTCTTCTCCCAGACTTGCTCTTCCCCCTTAATAAATGTTAGTAGTAAATATTCATGAAATGTCTACCCTGTGCCAAGCACTTGAATACAGGTCTGGTCACTGCTCTCATGAAGCATGTGTTCTAATGCAGGGAGACAGATAATAAATAATTCTTTGTATGTATGTATCTATTTATCCATCCATTTGTCCATCTGTCTGTCCTTCAGACAAACAGTTCCTTCTTTCTACTAACCTAATCTACTGCCAGACAGTGATAAATACTAAGAGAAACAATAATCAAAGAGTAAGGGAAAAAGGAACTCCTGAGGGTTGGGGAGGATGTTGGTGGTTATTATTTTATATACTAGTCAGGTTATCGGAGACCTGCATGAAATGAAGAAGCAAACAAACCACATGAATATCGCAAAGAAACGTGTTTTAGGCAGAGGAAATAGCATGGGCAAAGCCTTTGAGTTGGGGTATGCTTGGCAGATCTGAAGAATGAAAAAGAAGGCTAATTGTGGCAAGAATGGAAGAGGGTGAGAAGGAAATGGTAGGAGATAAACTCAGAGAGGTAGCCGGGCTAGGTCACTGAAGACCTTATTGGCATTTCTAAAAACTGTAGCTTTTATACCATTTACCCAACTGAAGTCATCACTGTTTTCTTTCTGTCACACCTGAGACCCAAACCAAATTCCTTTGAGTGCTATCGCCAAAATACAGCCCAAATACAACCATTTCTCTGATCCAAGCACCATGGACTATCACCAGAATTACTGCAACAGCCTCTTAATTCTCTACTTCTACCCTTGCCCACATCCCACCCTCCCAACAAGACCTTTAAACACGTAAATCAGATTATGTCAGTCACTGTTCTCCATAACACCTTCCTAATGCTTTCTTCTCAGAGCAAAAGCAGCAGTCTTTACCATGGCTTCTAAAGCCCTATATGGTCTGCCTGACCCTTCTGTCCCCGCCTCAACACATCCTAATCACTCTTGCCCTCATTCCATTCCTGCCACACTGGCATTCTCACTGTTCCTCCAAATAGCCAATCGCATTCCTCCTACCTCATGGCTTTGCACTTGCTGTGCTCTTGGCTACAAATACATTTCACAGCTGATCTCATGACTTGCTTCCTCACTTCAGGTCTCTGTTAATATTACCTCCTCAGAGACGCCTTTCTCCAATCGCCCTATCTACAATAGCCCAAGGCCCACCCATTCTGCCTTCTCCCCAGTACTTTGTACTACCACTCTATTTATTTTTCTCACATATCATCATCTGACATACTCTGTATTTACCTTTTTGGGTTATCTACTGTCCACCTCCCCACACTAGAATATAAAACAGGATATTCTTGGTTTTGTTCACTGATGTATCCCCAGTGAACAGGACACAATCTGGCATATAGAATACCTTTAGAATATTTGTTGAATAAATAAGCAAACCAATCTTAATTCTGGTTTTATAGGTGAGCTATTCCTTGAAATCATCCACACTGCCCTTGGAGGCACATGTCAGAAGTATATTTTCTGCAAACACCACGCACGTAAGGGAAACTCTTAGTCTCCATCATTCTAAGTGTTTGTATAAAATAAGACCACATGATACCGAAACTCAGTTCAAAAGAATTTTCTTAAAGACTGAAGATTATCAGTTTCCCTAGTTTCTTATATAAAGGCACAAATTTAGGTCAATCAACATTTTCTAAGTGCCTACTGTGTTCAGTATGTAAAGGCTATATATTACTGGCCCATACTTTCAAAACTAACAATTATCAGCATGAAACATTCATTTAAATTTATATTAAATTCTCTTTTCTCAGGTCTAACCAAAAACTTTGAAAGTAGATGTTAACGAAAATTAAATCAGCAAATAAAAATCGAGATAACATTTTCAATTATGATAAGTAATGACGGGAATTATCTTTTTCACACTGGTAGCAACTGAAACACACACACACAATCGCCAACATAAAACAGAACCTCCGGCATGTCTGCTCCTGCACTTCTACTCTTCTGGCTGAGCTCACCTTGTCAAAGTGCTGCTGCAAGATGTTTTTCATCTGCACCCTTTCAGCAGTCTCTGCTCCTGAACCCGAGTTCAGACACCTTGAGAGAATCCCTGTTTCCTCTTCAGCATCCTCTCCAAGAAATATCCGTTCATCTAAATTCCCAACAGATAAAACATACTCCTCATAGGCCTTATTGATGGCTTTACTATAGGGGGAAAAAAATGCAAAATGTATACTCACAGAACTGCTATTTCAGTTAATGTTTCAGTCTACTTAATTATTTCTTTTTTTTTTTTATTTACTAAAAGTTCTAATAATTTTGTTGTGAAAGTTAAATTTTAGTGAGTCACTGTTAATTATAAAAACTGAGAGTATCTACACTATGCTGGTCCACCGTGCAGTACGTATGTTTTGCTGACAGGGTGGGTACACTGTACCGATCTGCCTGGAAAGTGCAGCTTCTGGTGAGAAGCTTAATTCTCTTTCTAGCTGCTCTAGGCAACTCTGAAGACCTCCGGACTTCCACATCATTTCTCACCTCTATAGATCCAAAAGAATTTATTTTAAAAAGTATGATCCAAAAGCTTAACTATTAAAGCTTTCAAGAACAGCAATACGATTTCTAATAAATTTAAAGTAAACCTAATAGTTGATAGAATTTTTTATTGCTTCCCTGTATTTTCCCATAAAACATTCTCAATTTCTAAGGTACAGACAATTAAAACACTAAACTCTGAGATTTTTCTAAGCACACAATTTTAAATATTAAAACAGTTTTATAATAGAAGTACTCACAAACTCTCTCCAAAGTTTCCAGGCTCTAAAAACCCAGTAAGATTTTCTTCTTTTCCCTTAAGGAGCTATGATGAAAGAAAAGATCCTTAAGTCATCATATTAAATCAAATCTTTACCCAGAAAATATTTCCACATTACTTCTTTACTACTTACAAACCTTTTTTTCATAAAGTTTCCTAATATAGGGTTTCCAGAAATGTTCCTTTATTCCTTTTGCTTCCAAAACTAGGCCATCATGTAAGGAACAGAGTTTCTCAATGACACAAGGTGGGTCAGAGGAAGGTTTAGAATCCTTAGCATGAAAATCTTCAGATAGGCCTATGATGTACAGAATCACAGAGATGTCAGGTAGTATTCAATAAACCAAACTGTAATAAACTAAAATCTAAATAATAGACTACTCAGCATATCAGTATATGAATATATGCTGGGAAATCATGTATAAGGGCCTAATTTGACTCTATTTAAATGTACCTCAAAAATAGCAAATAGAGGTAAAGTGTATCACTGCTCAAAAGATTCCAGTTACTCTATCTATCTGGAGATGGTTTAAAAAAACCTAAAAAAATTAATTTAGTATACTGCTGTAAGATCTAAAAAAAATCTATAACTTTGCAAATAAGCCTTACATTCAAATAAAAAATACCACTTTAAAAAAATTACTGTTCAAAGTATGTATTGTTTATATGCTTTCATTAAATTATATGTGTTTATCATATTAATTTACAGCAAATCTTTGCCCTAGGCTCAGTAGGGGAAAAAAATTAAAAGAAAAAAAAAGAATAATAAGGAGGAGAAAAATGAAGGGAAGCAGCCATATAGAAATATAAAAGAGAACTAAGAAGGAAATGAGAGAAAAGACCATTCAATTTACCAAACCAGGAGCAAGTGAAGTAATTAACTCCACTAACCTTAAAAATCTACTCTGAGAGTCAGACGAGCTGAAATTCTAATTGTAACCTACACCCCAAAACTGACAATCACTCAGAATCCTACCATGGTATTATTCAAATAGCAGCAACGTTATATACTTTATTTATAACCTGTAAATAATTTTTAATATTTGCTTTGTACATCATAATTTGGTCTCTTACTATATATCACTCATAGAAATTACATAAAGTCTATTTAATCCATTGCCAAAATTATTTCCATACACATTTTAGTTTAAGAGCTTAAAATATATTTTCCATATTTTAGAACCGTAACGACTCCTCCGTAAAAAAAAATTGAAATGAAGATCCTTTTAATAAATCTGTTCTGACCTCCTACAGTGTGTTAGGCATTAAGCTGGCCAATGTAGAAAAATATCATCAGCTGTAATGCCATCTTTGCTACCCTGGATTTCTAAATTCCTTCTTGTTGAGTATATATTTCAGAAACTTCTACAGTGGTCATCTAAAACTTCAAACTTTGTGATATTTGCAATAGCTTGACTCCTACTAGTTTTAAGTGCCATGGAAAGCCATAATGATGGAGCTTTTCAAAGCACTTACGTTCTCTGATGCTAGGAAACCTATACTATGTATAAAACTCCCAAGAGTAAACATAATGTAGAAATGTGAGTTGTTCAAATTCTTTGATTTATAAACTTACCTTTAAAATTAGGGTTTACAAGTTCTTTACGATTGGAACACTGAAGGGCATTTCCATAAACTAAGTCCAAAGCACACAGCAGAAGATGATAAGAATTGACCAAATCATCACTAATCATGGGGAAATTACCTACAGGATTATAGACAATTATAGAGTTAAATATGCATCAATTTTACAATATTTTAAAAATAATATCTTGCTTTAATTAAAATGATATACAACAATGTGCAAAGCTGACTCAAGAGTTACATAAAATGTTTTGGTAAATTTACATTTTGAAATATTCTTATAGTTTAATAAATTTCTCAGAGTTTAAAGAAAACTAATACTTTACTAAAAATGCTATCTGTCCACTCAGTATTCATTAAATAAGCATTTATTAAATGCCTAGAAGCCAACCAAAATTTTATTATCATTGGTTTCTCCTTTAAAAATTCTAAAAACAACTTCATAATTTATATCAAATTGTAAGAAACTTTATATGAAAATATTTGTCAAGGAAATTAGTAGAAATACTTATATAAAAACAGCTGAAAAAATTATTCAGTTTTTCATGTCGGTACTTTAAAAAGACCAGAACCTATAATTAGACTCCTGACAGTAACATTTTAAATAACTTTTCCACATACAAATACAAGCTCATACAAATAAATGCAATAGGAACAAAATTGAAGACATTTAAGTTCTAGAGTTAGTATCCCAAGAATAATTGTTGATGCTTCGTAACAAAGAAACATGAAACTGAAACTTAAACGTATAAAAACATGTCATTTCTGCAGTGCTGTTATAAATCTAACACTAAAATCAATTTTTACAGGCAGTTAGTTTTATTGTTCTTAGAAATTAAGAAATATTTCTAGATTTTTTATAACTTCGAGCATATCCCTTTTGTCATTAAACAGTGCATTTATATGCTTCATACTGACTTTGCAGTCTTATAACATCAGATGAATTCAACTTAAATGGCTAACATATATCCAAAAGAATTATTTCTAAACCTCGACATTTTCACATTTAATGCCTACTCAAACAGTCACACTGTTTCAGGCTTTTTTCTCTCCTTTCGGCCAAAGAAAGTTACCACTTACCTCAGCATATCAGGATAAGTAATTCTTTTTTTGTATAGGTGGAAACATTCAATAAGTCAACTTAAATGAATTAAAGAGAAAAAATATTTTTCTGTTGCCAGAAAGGCAAATGATAATTAACAGGTTAAATCTGGCACGGATATAAACAAACTTGCTTGGTTCTACTATAAAGATGTTTAGTATAAAAACATTCTCGTCCCTCAAGTGTAAAATAGGAAGTACACCAGAGGGTTTCAGGCTACAAAGCCCATCACACTGACAAGCCTAAACTTGTCACTGGTGTGTACTTGCCATAGAAGGAAAAAAACCTGCAGTACTGTAACATCTAACAAAAAGCTGAAATGCCCCTAAAACTTAGAATCTAATTTAAATTAAACTCCAGGACTGTCCCAACATAGCTTAGAAATAAATCTCACTTTGTGAGATATTTCATTTTTCAATCAACAAAGATAACCTGTTTAACTTCCAAAGTTAGCTTATTTATCAGGAAAGAGAGTGGGATCTCAAACAAAACAGGGAGTGGCACCTATTGGTCTTCAGGCCACGAAGCCCCTCATGAGGACAAGCCCAAACTTGTCACTGGTATGTATTTGCCATAGGAAGTCAACAAATAAACAAAAAAATGATAAATTTCATAAAA